TAGCAAGCCAGGGAGAAATGGTCTATGGAAAAGCTTGCGAATTCTTATGTGAAGTAAATTGTGAGACTTCACGGTGTTCCGTTAACGATTGTCTCGGATCGTGATAGCCGTTTCACCTCAAGGTTTTGGAAAAGTCTACAAGAGGAAATGGGTACCAAGTTATGTTTAAGTACAACTTACCATCCGCAGACTGATGGTCAGAGTGAAAGAACGATACAAACACTTGAAGATATGCTGAGAGCATGTACCTTGGAATTCCTAGGTAATTGGGATGAACATTTACCGTTGGTAGAATTTTCCTATAACAATAGTTTTCACTCGAGCATTAAGATGGAACCTTACCAAGCTTTGTATGGACAAAAGTGTCGTACGCCGTCTTGTTGGCTTGAGGCTGGGGAAAAGCAGTTTATGGGACCGGAGATGGTTCATCAAACTGCTGAAAAGTTGAAAATAATTAGGGAAAGAATGTTAGCAGCTCAGGATCGTCAAAAGAGCTATGCTGACAAGAAGCAAAGACCGATGACTTTTGAAGTTGGGGATTCGGTTTTGCTTAAAGTCTCGCCGTGGAAGGGACTTATAAGATTTGGTAAAAGGGGAAAGTTGAGTCCAAGGTTTATTGGACCGTTTAAAGTTCTTCAGAGGATTGGGAACCAAGCTTACAAGCTCGAACTACCAGAAGAACTGAATGGAATTCATAACACTTTTCATGTGTGTTATTTACGGAAGTTCACGGGGGAAGTTCCCGACATGATTCCACTTTCGGAGTTGAGAATTGATGAGAACAAAAGGTTGATTGAAGACTAAGAAGTTGCGACGCAAGATGGTCGAGTTAGTGCTTGTCGGATGGAAACACACGAATGGGCCGAATCTCACCTGGGAGACGGAGAGTGACATGAGGAGTCGCTATCCGCATTTGTTTGTTGATGTGTGATTCTGGGGACGGAATCATTCTAAGGTGGAGAGAATTGTAACGCCTGTGTTTCCGGGCTTGCCATTTTTAGCAATGTAATGGTCTAGGTTAACCTTTGTAACCCGTTTTGAAATAATATAAGTGTATTATTTGAGTATTATGTGTTTTGTGCTTAATTGCTTAATTATGTGGTTTGATTAATTAAGCATAAATATAAGCGTCAAAATTTAAGTGTAAAATAAACTTGATATCTTTAGATAATGTTGTAGTCATTGAAACAAGGTTTCCGGAGATATAAAGAATGCCGAAATCCGAGTTATAACGAGGAAGTTATGACCTGTCGAAGTTTCGCGACAGAACCGCAACGCTGAATAACGTAAAAAGTGAAATTTACGTTAAAGCGATATTTAGCCTTAGTGATCTAAACGAGAATCGAAGATCTCGTTGTTAGTATCAAAGCGATAAAAAGTTAGGCGAGAACGGACGTCAAACGAAGAAGTTATGAATTTATAACGAAATTTTCTGTCCCGGCCTATTAAAAATAAATAATAAAAATAAATCAAAATTAGCCGACGGAGTCTAAACGAAAGTTGTAGAGCGTAGTCTCACCTTTCCGTGGATATAAAGAACGTCGAAAACGGAGTTCGTATGAAGAAGATATGAATTTCCGAAGTTTATTAATTAATTTGTATTTATTTTTAAATCAAAATTCGGAAGCATTATCCGAAGGCGAGTCACAGGTCTGATCCGACTTACGCGCCGCGTAAGTGAGTACGCCCCGCGTACTCCGAAGAGTGTCGACACTTCGGATGACTGCATGCGCTTACGTTTCGAGGCAGTACGCCCGCGTACGTACGCCCCGCGTACGAGGAGCTTCCAGCCTCCTATAAATAGGATGCGAGGGCGCCGGCCAATTGCTAATTTCCTCTCGTTTTTGTGCCGAAGCTCTGCGTTTTTACCCCCGAAGCCCCGGTAATATTCCCGAGTCCCGAAGCGAGTCCCGAGATCCCGAAGATCCCGAGAAGTGCGGTTTCCGAGCCGAAGCTCTGCCCGAGAAGTTCGATTTTCGTAGAGATCTTCCAGATCTGCTGAGGATTACGACTTCTGCAAGCCGTAGTGCTGTCCGATCATCTTCTGATCAAGTGAGTGTATACTACCTTTCATAAACGCAATAATAATACAAGTATGGTTTGAGGTATTAAGTTTATTGTCGTTTATACGTGTGAATGCGTTGTTACTTTCTCCTAACGTATAACTATGAAGTATTTTATACGAGATACGTGTTATGTGTATATTTTGTTGTTATGTGTGTGAATGTATATTCACTTTCTTCTATCTTACAGATATGATTATTTCTATATGAAATACGTGTTATGTGTGTGTGCCTCATCTGTTATATGGAAAATGTATTGATCAAGCATGCTATACAGGTTTTGAAAATATGTATAAAAATGTATGTTTTTATCTACTAATATGTTGGGTAGAACATGGGTAGATAGTTGGTGTGTAATAAACAGATGAGAGGCCTCGTTGTTGTTTGATCCAGTCATCTAGCGGAATTTAGATGACGACCACGGACTTTTCTAGATAGTCCAGTGGAACGCTAGCAGGCTCATAACCTGTAGGTGTTAATGAACTTGGGTGTTCATTCGCTGTATTCCATCCCCTCATGGTTGCCTTATTTGACTTATATTGCTGAGGAAACCCCGCAGCATGTGTTGTCACCATGAAAATATTCTTAGATTAGGTCCCTTGTGTTAGTTATTTTAGGGACGTAAAGTGAGAATAACGGGAATGGGTAACTGGGTTATTGTTGGTTGATAATAATTAATTTAATTATTTATTGTGGGTTGAAAACCCTATATGCTCACCAGGCTCCCAAGCCTGACCCACTCAGTTTTATTTGTATTACAGGAAGTGGCGCAAGGGCGTAAGATGGATGAACCATCAAGTTGTTTTGTTTACAAGTCTGTATATGTATATATTTGTTGAATGACTTGTAATATTATCGTTTATGCTTATTGGTCTATATCGGAACATGACACCCCGAGTTTTGATTATATAATGATAAATACATTTCTTTTATGAAATGCTTTGGTAAACATTGTTTTATCATGTTTTGTTTTTGGGAACAAATTCCGCAACTCTTTCAAATCAAAAGGATTTACTCTGAATTTATTTTAAAAGCATAAATGAAAATCGGTCTTTTCTGGCCGAGATTTTGGGGATGTCACAATATGTGATTTATATGTGAATCACATGTGATTCATATGTGAATCACATGTGATTCATATGTGAATCACATGTAATTCATATGTGAATTGCATGTGATTTACATGTGAATCACATGTAATTCATATGTGAATTACATGTGAATCACATGTAATTCATATATGAATTACATGCAATTCATATATGAATTACATGTGATTCATATGTAAATCACATGTAATTTACATGTGTATCACATTTGATTCATATGTGATCTACATATGAATTACATGAGATTAATTCTAGATCACATTATCAAATGTTATTTTATTATAATGCAAAGACAAGGGTAGCCATTTGAATAATCTATATATAAGGTCATTAATCATGATTAACATCATAACATGTGCTCATTTCACATGTTTTTGTTATGTTTTTCATTGTAAGCATGTATAAAGTATAGTGAGAAAATAAATTCCATTATTAACCATCTAGAAAGCAACTCAAATTTGCAACTTAATCATGTCATATGCTAGTTTGATTGTCCTCCATAATTGACAACCATAAAATAAACAAATATGGCATGATTTGTTTTGTATCATTAATAAATGAACCTGATTCTAATGCATTAGGACAATTACCAGTTTGTATGTCAATGCTTTCTGATAATTCTCATGAATATATTTATTCAAAACAATCAATGCTAAAAGGGTCAAATGTATATAACCAATCTATTCATCCTCTATTGGGTTATAAGGCCTAAGATAATAAACACTTTTTTTAATCACAAAACATACCAATGATTCGCTTATCAGCTTATCATAAACCTGTGTAAATTTTTCCAAACCAGCATCATGCAATTTTGGGAAAACATGTAATTTCGCAAATGTGATGTACTTCTTCAGCATATCTTGAGGAAGTATCTGAATAAAAACGAACTTTAATAAATAAATAAAAAGCAAAACCAAAGGGCAGTTTTGGCATGATACTGGTACCTCAGGATCAATCATCATGATAGAGACATCAATGTCTTCTTGGGAATTGTTCATGGATTTGTCATCCAAGTTGGCCCCTTTCGGTTGGGATTTGAAGTGACTATCAATCACAAACTTAGCATGCATTTCATCCATCACAAGGTTTATCACATCATGTATTTGTATTAAAACCATGTTTGTTAATATATATTGGTATATTAAGTTATTAGACATGAAAAAAAACGTTATAATTATATTATCTATAGCATTTACAACAAAGAGAACATCGAATCTTGAGTCAATCGGATCTATTAACTCAACATTTTGTGAAAAGTTTTAGAGGAATCATATCTTCCTCCAATTGAATGAGCGTATCCATCAAAAAGATAATAAGATTTGGCCTTTCGGTTAATCCCATAACTAATAATCACATCAATAGTCAACCCGTAAATACCTAACACTCCAACCATAACCATCGACACAATCGACTTCATCACTAATTGCGGCCTAAACACTCCCATAGGCGCCACACCAACACTGCTTTTCGCCGTTACGTATGCACCCCCCCCATGCGTGCATAAAAATGACCTATGAAATTCCTTGCAAAGGAAGGATGAATTACATGTAATTCCTATGAAATTACATGTGTAAGGAAAGTTCATTTGACGTGAAATCAACAAAAAATCTCCGGAAAACAAAATCATATTAGGAACGATGATTAATTCTAGATCTCGAAGCGGTAATCAATGTTGATTTTGGGGGAATCGACATACTCGATAAGAGAATCATCTGTGGAGGTTGTCAGAGGAGGAAGATGTAGAGATGATGCGACCACATGACGATCCAATGTCGGAGAAAAAAGTTATTGAAAGAAGTATCAGAGAAGAAATTCTTCTGGAGGAGAACAAGAGTTGGTGTTGTGTTAAAGAGATCATTTTGAAAAAGTATAATCGATTAGGATAATATATATATATATATTTGTTTCAAATATTGTCCTTGTCTAGTTTAATTATGATACCCCCGCTTTTTAGTTTTCTACTTATTTACAAAAATGTCACTTTGCATCTTAGTCTTTTTTTTTTTTCATATAAAGCTCCACTTTTAATTTTCTGGTTTTCGGGAAACTCTAGGTTCTCAAATGATCATTTCTCTCTCTCTTTCTCTCTCTCTCTCTCTCTCTCTCTCTCTCTTTCTTTCTTTCTTTTTCTCTCTCTCTCTCTCTATCTCTCTCACATACACACACTCTCTCTCTCCCCCTCTCTCTCTCTATATATATCTCTCTCTATCTCTGTCTTTATTTATATATATATATATATATATATATATATATATATATATATATATATATATATATGAATTAGAAGTCAAAAAAGAAAAAAAGAAAGAATGAGCACTAAAAAAATATTGTAAAATCTTTTTTTGAGCTTAAATATGACCTAGACGTTACATATTGTTAATATTTGGATTTGTTAGTTAATTAACATCTATAATTCTAAACTAACAATTTCCGATATATAAAAGTAATAATAACTAAAGCAAACCCATGAATGAAATATATAACAAAATAGTTATAAATAAAAATATGGAATACAAAACTTTTCGATCTAACATATATTACATTCATTGAACTTACGATTTCAAAAAACAAAACCATATGAACAATAACAAAAAATATCAACAAATATTTTAGCTTATACAAATTAAAATATTTAAATACATGATTACCTCGTTCTAGTTTTATACAAAAACATACATCTCAAAATAGAGGTTTGTATATTTTTACTCATCTTTGTCTGCATATTATTCTACAAATTTCAGCAATATGATCTACAAATGAACTATATATAATAAAGGAACTCTTGATTTCAACAATACCATAAATAAATAAAAAACTCTTGATTTGTATTAACTATTTAGTTGAAAATTAATATGTAAGTTAAAAATTCTTTAACGAGAGTGATTATTAATTGAAATTTGAAATGTTGTTAGAGTTTAAAATAAATACGGTGTAAGATATATTGATTTAGAATGACCTTTTTATAAGCTTTTATATATATATATATATATATATATTATATATATATATATATATATATATATATATTATATATATATATATATATATATATATATATATATATATATATATATATAGGGAAAAATGAATATACCCTTAAGGGTATATAAGCTTAGGTACCTAAACTCACTATACTACGTCGTTTTGTATTATATATACATTGTAATTGTCCAACATTCTTATAATTCGACTTCTAATTTGATTTACTTCCCAAATTTTTATAAATTTCACATTTATCTTTCTCTAACATAATTTTCCTTTTCAACTATAATATGTATAGCCTAGTAGGTATTCGAAAAAAATATGTGATGTAAGAGGAAGATAATAGTGAAATTTCGAAAATCTTGTTGGTACATCAAGTTAAGGAATGAAGTTTAAGAACATTATAATAAATATATCAAACAAAACGACGTATTATGGTAGGTTTGGGTACCTAAGTTTATATACCCTTAAGGGTATATTCACTTTTCCCATATATATATATATATATATATATATATATATATATATATATATATATATATGGGATAGTTCAAATAAAAACAATAAATAGTGTGAGTATGTAAAAATACTAATTTTATATTATTATTCTGCAATGAATTTTGTATTTACAAATTTATATCATTATCCAACAATGAATAAATGAATAGTCACATTTTAAAACCAAAATTAGAATTTACTGCAAAATACACATAAATAAATTTATAACAGAATAATAAAATTCTAATAAATATATGACTAATCAAATGTTAATATTCATATAAGATTTATTTCAAAAATACATATATATATATATATATATATATATATATATATATATATATATATATATATAACATTTAATACAGAATAATAACATAAAAATAGTGCTTCTACTTTCTTACACTATTTTGTGTTTTTTATTGAAACTTGATTCTCTCTCTCTCTCTCTCTCTATATATATATATATATATATATATATATATTATATATATATATATATATATATATAATATATATATATTATATATATATATATATATATATGGAGAGAGAGAGAGAAAAAGTTTAAATAAAAGAGAAATAGTGTAAGAACGTAAAAACACTATTATACATCTGAAAAACACTATTATATATATATATATATATATATATATATATATATATATATATTGATTTTCCTTAATAACTTTTGTTCATTAATATTTTTTAAAAAACTATTTTTACTTGCTTATTTTTATATCTGTTTGTGTATAAATTCGAGACGATCGATTTTTTGATTTAAATTTAGAACTTTTGTTTGTTAATTCTTTGTTAAAAAAATTAAATGTTTATTTATTTACTTGAGTATTTTATTTGAATTTGTCTATTTTTCTACGTAATTTTATTTTTAGTTTTATGTGTTTTATTTTTCTACGTAATATATATATATATATATATATATATATATATATATATATATATATATATATATATATATATATATATTATATATATATATATATATTGTAACATACACGTTCTGTTATCGTGTATTGTATATTATTAAAAGTGAATAATATTATAAAATATTTTGTGAAATTGAGCGTTGAGTTCTACCAGATATTTTTTTTACTAAAAATGATGTAAAACTATGTTTAGAGTCACTTATAAAATATTGGAAGTCTTATGAGATTCTAATTAAAAGCCAAATAGTAAAATTTAGCGAAAATATAAAATTTGAAATAAGTAAAATTTTATTATTTAAAGTTGTAAAGAATCTTGTTAGAAACGTTTAGGCGAAAACCTCGTTGAAATTTGAGTTATAATAAAGAAGTTATGACTAATCGAAGATCCGCGATAAAACCGGCAAACACTACGTCGCGTAAAAAGTGAGTTTTCGATAAACTACTTTTTAGCCTTAGTGATATAAATTAAAATTGTAGTACTCCTAAAAATAATAAACTTTCATATAAAAAACTTTTAAATCTGACTTCGTACCAGGAACTTATGATTTTTCCAAGTTTCGGTATAACAGTAGACAACAAAAAACTCGAAATAAAGATCGAGCGATATTTAGCCGACACAAACTAAACGAGAATCGAAGGTCTCGTCAATAGTAGTACAAAAGTAAAAAGCCTGACAAAAACGGACGTCCGATGAAGAAGTTATGAATTTTTAACGGATTTTCCTGTCCCGATCTGTTAAAAATAATAATATTAAAATTAAAGTCAAAATTAGCCAACGGAGTCTAAACAAAAATTGTAGAGCATAATTTACCTACGTGTGCATATAAAGAACGTTAAAAACAGAGCTTGTATGCGAAAGTTATGGATTTTAGAAGTTTGGGGCACAAAAATCAAGAAAAGTCCAAAATCTGAGGAATTTCGCATGGCAGGTGTTCGGCCATGTCACCTCGCCTGAACAGCTGCCCCGTGTCCGATCTCGGTGAGTCATCCGAGCAGCTGGTGATGCGTGTCGCACTCCCTCGCATCCGAAGCGCCGGTCCAACCATTAAGCGACGTGTGCCCCTTCTCGTGTCCAAGTCTCGCACGAGCCACCGCACCCTCGCATCCGACGCCATATGGAGCCTTCTCAACCGCAGAACTTCGGCCTTGGCCCTATAAAAGGGAGGCTTGCGAGCCTTCCCGGGAATTTTTGAGATTTTGCCCTTTTCCACCCCTAATTCCATATTTTAGCTATTTTGATATTCCACAAAGCCCCGATATCAATTTTAGTAACCGAAACACGTCTCGAAGTGCCCGAAGAGCCCAAGAAATTTATCTTTTCGGTTTGAAGCTCTACCTTCGGAAGGCCTGGTTTTCAAGAAAGCTCTCGGTTTTCAACGAAGAAAGCTATTTATTATAACGAAGTGCTACACAAATTACTGTTTTAACCCCCAGTTATTTCAAGGTGAGTTTCAATATATAGGAATAATTGTATGTTATATGTTATATGTGATATGTGCTTTTCAGTTGTTATTATTTCTGCTATTTATGATAACAAAGTTATACCTTTGACCATGTGATCAGTGAAAAGACTTAGACTCATGGTGGTACTGGTATGTAGCCTCTGACCATGTAGATCATGTCTCCGTAAGAGAATGATTTCTATTCTATGG